CAAAACACATGTAGACTGGTTGGGCAAACTCCCATGCACCCTCAAGTATCCTCGAGAGGATAAAGAGCTGGTCCAAAAATAAACCAGCAACTAAAAATAAAAGTTGAAAAGCAGGGCTATTCTGTTGTGTAAAACACTGCTGACCACTAATGGCCACAAGTGTGAATTATTCTTAGAAACAGTCTGAAATGATTGTGACCTACAGAGCTTTTAAAAACACCATAAACAGACATGCAGCAGAACATCTGCTCAGCAGTCGACGTCCTTGACATCTTGCTTGGTGCAAGCAGGTTAGTGAGCTGCAGCCTGACTGACTGATGCTGGATGGGGCCCTCAGTGTACACACCCATATGTCTCTGTCACTAAAGCATCCAAGTCTGTGGGAGCATTTGAGCCTATGCATATTGCACTGGATTTTAAACACACTACAATAAAGGAACAGAGCCAGGATTTGCTGTGGGTTTTGTTTGAAAATAGTGGATTAAGGACACTATAACTGTATTCTTTTCCAGTTTTTAGAGTAATCTTGTGGAGGACATGGAAAAAAAAACTTGTCTGCTCACAGTGGCGACAGATTGAGATGATCCCACCGGATGATCACCCTAAAAATAAGCAAGTGTACAGGACTTGGTGGTAGTGGAGTGATATAATCTTTTATTCAAGCACAAAAAAAACCACGTAATAAGCCTCCCTTACATGTAGAAATCCAGCAGATGCAACATGCAGCAACGTGACCTTGAATGATCAAAATCAGAAATGCTGCACCAAAATTTTACTGATACACTTTAAAGCATTCTGCAGCTAGGATGTGGTGAAACTGAAATCTGATTAATGATACATTCATTAAAAGAAATTACTGTTTTCCCCCCAAAAAATCCCTGAAATTATTTTCCAGACAGCACGACTGGTTCGCACTATATTTAAAAATATAGACTTTTTTTATGTTCCCTTGCTCCATTTGGTAATAACTATCCTCAGCCTCCTCGATTGGAGCTGTAAAACTAATAGAAGTGGTGTTACATAAGAGATTATCCTAACTCTTATCATTTCTTTGCCATTCGTTATAGAAAATCAAGTTCTCCATAGAAATTACAACAACAACAAAAAAGGCTCTCCTGTGGTCTTTTGAAGCAAATGTCATGTTTGTCCCCGTGGAAACAGGCTCATCAAAGGCTCGGGATATTCAAGGTATAGGCCTATAATGTGTCCTGGTGTTGTGTCAGCACTTCTGTAACTTTAGGTGAGGGTTGGAGAGGGAAGGGGGGTCTGGCGGTAATATGACCTTGTTTTGCCATGCAGCAGCCACAGCACAACGCTGCACAACTCCACCGGCAGCAATTGTGAGAATCTGACGGATGCTCCACCTTCCAAATGGCTCGAGCTGCATTGCTAACACTTCTTCCGTGCAGCTCTCTCTGCGGAGTTTAAATGTAGGGGCATGACTAAACAAGAGCTTCCTGCCACACTGCTATTGATAATTAGGACTCATAATTTATGACTCACAACTTGCATTGTATATGCCATTGAGCCTGCTGCTGAGTAAAGCAGCAGCAGCAGCAGCAGCATTCAGGCTGTTCTCTTACTGGCACAACATGAGCTCAGGGAGGCTTTCTTTAGCATCCTCCACTGGGTCTCACACCTATAAGAGCTGCACTGAAACATGTATGCAGCATGCTACAGCTTGCTGTGAGGGAAGAGCAGATGCTACCTCTACCTCATATTTGCACGAAGTTTGATTCATTTGAACACTTTTTAGAGGCTTGGTACTGCAAAGCTCTGTGGAATTTCACAATAAAGGTATATTCAATATAAATTATTATTTTACTTACTTCCTGTCTTATAAATCCTTAACCCCTCATCTTGTGTGAGCCCATGCGAAGGCTGGAAGCAAGTAACATAGAGCGGGTGAAAGAAAAAGAATCTGAATGGGGGTAAATGCTTGCTTACAGCATAACAATAAGTGGAAGGTTTCATAAAATTATCTGAATCATGGCAAGCGGCATGGTGGAGCAGTGGTTAGCACAGTTGCCTCACAGCAAGAAGGTCCTGCATGGGTTCAAATCCACCCTCTGGCTGGGGCCTTTCTATTTGGAGTTTGCATATTGCACAGGTTCTCTCCTTCAGTCTATAGAGATGAAGGTAGTGGGGTTAGGTTAACTAGTAATTTGAAGTTGCCAATAGATGTGATGTGAGTGCAAATGGGTTTCTGCCTCCATGTGTTAGCCCTGCAACAGATGGGTGACCTGTCCAAGGCGTACCCTGCCTCTCGCCCTGTTGCAGCTGCGATGGGCTCCAGCCACACTACCACCCTGAAGAGGATGCGTGGATCACAGCTTTGGTCTTGAAAGTAACCACACCTGAACCTGACACCTTTATGAGAATTTAAGGTGACATTAGTGCATCACCATTATCACCAAAATAAAGAATGGGCAATTATCCTTTGTTTGAATATTCCATCAAAATGTCCAACATCTGAGATAAAGTGCAACTCATCTCGAAGATGAGTTAAAGACTGTGTTCTGTATGATACTTCAGTATGCCTGTCCCTTTTAAATGCTACTGCATTTAACACATATGCCCGAGTTTATGTGGAGGAGGCTTAATGCTTGAGGTTTAATCCCAGTAAAACCTGAGCCCTATAGTGGATTTCAAATGTGTGCTAAAATATTCAAATGCGTTATGACAATATCATTTCACTGCATGGTTTCCAGACAAAAAAAAAAGGGGGGGGGGGGTTTTTTTTGTTTTTTTTTTTGGTCACATTTGTAGATTTTTCTTTGATTTCACGCAGGAGCAAAAAAAGAAAAAAAGGAGGGAGGGGTGAGACAGACAGACAAGACAGACAGAAATGTCGAGGCAAAAATGAGACAAATTCGGCTGCAAGACTTTGCTAAAATGATAGATCACCCACATGTTTATCTTCAGTAACAAGGCAGCAGCGGCGGCGGCGGCAGGAGCGTGTAAGGAGTGTAGTTTGTGCGCGATCTGAGCTGATGTGGAGCAGCCAGAGACGCACAGGCGTTCTGAATCCTCTGTGGTCATGCATGTAGAAAAACAGAGGGGGTGAATCTGAGGCACCCTTATCAGTGGCAACCATGTGTACGCAGTGGGCAGCATGATGGAGCTGCATCCTCACGCTCGCGGCCATCGAGGAAAAAATAGTGGAAAACGCTCTCGCATGTGTCGCCACACCCAGCAAATAAAGCCAGACACGGCACAGTAGCGAAACCCCCCAAACCCCTAAAAAAACGAGTGTTTTAAACCGGCAACAGCGACATGACAGCTACCGACGGCTGTGGAGGAGCCACAGATGAGTCACACAGCTCCACCAGCGTCCCCCATTTTCATTACACACACAGTCAACCTGCAACCTATGTAGCGGGATTGGGGGGGAGGTTGCCAGTATTGATATGAGGAATAATGCAAAAGGCAAGTGGGTGGATGAATGGATGGCGTGCGGTGATGGTGCACGTGGGGACACTTTAGGAGAGGTGTTCAAAGATGTGGACACGGGCTCTCTTGTCAATGCGCATGATACTGCGGTTCCACTACTACGGCACGCTCCAACTCACCTTGAATCGGCGCACGGCCGATTCTCCTGTCATTCGGGTGCGGGGCGTAAGGAGAACCAATACACGCCCCAAAGACTCAATCAGCAGCCAATCCAGTGACAGGAGAGGCGGACCTGTGGCTGCATTCTCACACTTGGTTTCACTATGCGCTCGTAAAACGGCTCCGTCTACTACAAACGGTGCAGGTGCTCTGTCTCTTCGGGAGAGGATGCGGATGGAAGGACGGGGGAGGGAAGGGATGAAGGGAAACGCCACGAGGAAAGAAAATAGGATATGAAAAGGGGCTTGTGCTAAGAGACCGCGAGGTGCAAGGTCGAATATGAGAGATTGGTTGAACGGGGCACTTTGCGTGGTAATAGCTGGTCGGCAATAGTACTATGATTTGGTATGTGGCCACTCTGATAGCAAGTGTATTCAGCACCAGAGGAACGGCCGCTCAAGGTGAGTTGAAGTGCAATATATCTTGTGCCGCACATAGCTTTTGATTTCTGCTGTCTTCGCGTGCTCTTGGTGCTGCTTGTTCTGATCGCAAGAGATTTTTTTTTTGCCTCCCCCCCCCCTCCTTCCTTCTTCTTCTGTATGTTAGATCATATGAACTGTGGGGCAATTTGATTCTAACAAATGGCTGCATATCTCATATGTCACGTGAAAGTTTAGCCCTGGTTAAAGGCTGTCAGGAAAACAAAAATTGCCTTGAAAACGGCCTGGCTCATTTACATGGTTACCTGAAATGAGATAGCCTAATTCTGATAACACATCCATGTGTCCACGATGACTGATCACGGCAAAGATAGCTCTATTAATGTGGCTGGTGGGTTTGGCCCGTGTATGTGAAATATGTGAGGCTCATTTGGGTGATAAAGCAGCGAGCAGATTGGAAGATAACGTCCCTGCTGCTGCTGCTGAGGGGAAATGTGTGCATTGTAGGCTATCATAGCAAGCAGTCCCATTTGAGTTCTCCAGAGAGGGGTGTGACCGTCTCAGCCCTCAAGATGGAAAAGTAACTAAATAATGCATCACGTGTCAGATAAAATGCACTCTTGGATTTGATAGAGCCCGCTGCAGCATGCATGGGATTCGTATGCTGAATTTCACATTGCACATGGATGGAGGGAGGGGGGTCACGGTGCTGTATGTGATGCACTAAGCACCCAGGCTGCAAGACTCGCCTTGTGCTGATCTAAGAGCTTCGTAAACTAGTCATTCCTGCAGTTACAACCTGCACAATCTCCCTTTTGTTCATATTTATTTATTTATTTTTACCAGCACTCTGTATTGACCCATGTACTTACTTAACCTTGCTTTTCCACTTGTGTCCAGAGGAGGGAGACATGTGCCAAGTTGTCCCCTAGTACTTATCCCAATGACCCCCACATACCCAGTCAAAACTGGTCTGCTCACAGGTCTGACTCCTCCTGTGATGTCAGCCAAGGCCAAGATAAGCCCAATATGAAATCTTGAGCCAATGTAGTGAAACGAGTTTGATTTAGGAAGAGAAACCGCTCAGAGGGGTTTTTTTTTAAACACTCATCATCTGCCTTACATAGATGGGGATCTTAATCATATCGATTCAAAGGTGTTGTCTGATATAGTCACTGCACAGAAGGTGATTTAAGCCTCACAGGCTGCATGAGAGAATCACAAATCACGACATAGGCTATTAGTGACTACAAATGAGAGGCGGTCTACTTCAAATATTACAGGGACCCTAAATATACCATCTGATTGTAGCCTGCTACCACGAAAAATCACTGACAAAGCATGAAAACACCAACTGTGCCTTTTCTTGACTGTTCGTGAACTACAGCGCACACTGACCTGTGCTCAGAGTTTAAGGATTTCTGGCAATAAATGAAGTGTTTTGATGTAATTTTTGGTTAATAGAGAACAAGAAACGACGTGTTAAGTGTCAGTATAGGTACAGTTGAAAATAGTTGAAAATGTAGCATACTGCTAAAACATTAACATCAGTATTTACTCTGGCAGCTAATTATTTGGAAGAACATTACTACTTTCATGTGTGTCCATTAATTGAGAATCTACACCCTGCCGCTATTTAGCCTAGCTTAGCATATGCACTGTAGGCAAGGTGAAACAACTACCCTGCTATTAAAATGTTATATTTTTCATAAAGTTTGATGGATTTGCCACTGCAAATTATGTCATTTATTCTTGATCATTGCTTCCATGTATGGAGGCTTCAGGTCCAATTTTTATATTCCAATGGACAAAACAAATGGCCAGAAACTTACTTGCTCCAAAGAAAGAGAATCAAAGTTGGATCTCAGATGAGCTGAGACTTGGCTCATTTTCCATGGCTGGGTTTTTGTTGTATGTGCACTTTGCTCAGTGTTAGGGATTAATAAATGACCGTGAGCCTGCAGCAAAATGATGACATGTTTCAAACTTAAATTCATGATGTCTGGTGACTTGTCTCAGAAATAGTTGCACATATATATTTTATTGCATAAATGGAGAATGTTTTGTGTAATGAGATATAATTATTATTCTTTCGTATACTATCAAATTTATATAATTAACTTTTTAAGCTACATTCAGTTGTTTTTCAGGTTATTTAATGGGGAAAAAATATTCTTTTTTTTTACTTATTAAGATACATTGACTGTGGGATTGTGTCTTCCAAAAATAAATTAAATTCTCATAAACCTAGACTTAATCAATTAAAAATGCATAGGAGCAGGCATTGGTTTGATGTAGTGGCTGTGATCCCCCGCCTTCTTGAATATACTGGTTGAGATAGTTTGATTACATTCTCACATTGTATGAGAATTCATTCACTAAGTGTCCAAGTCCAACGATGTTAAATCCACTTTAATGAATGTTGTAACAGAGGCTAACAGAGGCTAACAGCAGCAAACAGAGGCTAACGGAGGCTAACAGCAGCTAATACCACAAAAGCAGCAGCACTAACTGACAGAAAAGTTCTCAGCCTCAGCACCTCAGTATGACTGTCATTTGAGAGAAGTGAGCTTCACTGACTCATCAACTCGTATTGGACTCCTTTTAAGTTTTACAGCCTCCTCCACCAGAAATGGTTGTAGACACATATTGACAGCTAGGGTAAACAGCAGACTGACAGCCTACACTCACTATAGATGAATGGTGACCAGAGTTTTTTGTCCTACAGTGGCTACTGTAGCTAGGATTGTGCACCTAAATTGGGAGGGATAAAAACATATAGAGGTAAGATTTTACACAATGTAACTTTCAGATGAGATTGTATGTTAATATTTGATAATGTATTAAAATAAATCACATTTAGATATTTGGATAAACGCTACAAGATAAGAATTTTAGGAAAGAAAGTTCTAATTGAACACATACAGGATAGACATACAGGATAGCCTCAGAAAGAAAATCAAAATATAATATACTGATACACCTGCAGTGACAATAAAACTGATTTTTGGACTAGAATTGTCTTAAAACACTAAGTTGTGTTAATGGTACAGCAGGGTTTTGCACAGGCTTTACGCCTCCTTTATAGGGACTTAAAGTGCATTTTGAGATGTAGACGAGGCATCATCTGCAAACGTGTTTGCTGTAATGCACTGTGAGGCATGCACAGAGCTTATAAAATTACAATGAGTAGTTTAGAAACCCTTCTGAATAGGTTCTGATCCTTCATGGGTTGATAAGTCTTAAACAGTTCTTGGCAAAAATTTGGATTTCCATCTGAAAGAGACATGATTCCTGGAGTGTGACCAGGACTCTCGAGTAAAGCAGCACTGAGTTATAAGAAAGTAGTCCCATAATTCGTTAATTGAGTCTACTGCTGTCATTTAGGTAAGGATTACTTTGTATTGTCATTTTCAAGAGTTGTAAAACCACTCCTCAAAGTATTCTGCAGGAGGTCTCTTCCTGTTAAAAGGGAACTTTTTCCTTCCCACTGTTACTAAGTGTATATTCATAGGTGGTTGTTTGATTGTTGGGCTTTTCTCTGTATTATTGTAGGGTCTTTACCTTACAATATAAAGCACCTTGAGGCTACTCTTGTGATTTTTGCACTATGTGAATAAAACCAAAAAAATCAAGAAGACTCAAGAAGAATCAAGAATCATTAAATGGAATTATTGTAAAGTGTAGGAAAGTTTCTGATAAGACTTCAAACTCATTAAATTATCATGCAAACTAATATTTTATGATCTATCTTATTTGATCATCTAACGGCTATCTCAAAAAGTAGCATATTAGTGAACCACTAGGTAATCATCAGTTTGTAGTCATTCTTGTTTTTTAATTAGTAGCTCCCCTCAAGTCCTCATTAACCTGCACCATTAACTGAGCCACACACAACGGTAACTACTCATTTGTTACTGATTATTTCCAACATTTGTTACTCTTTTTCTTTTGCCCCAAGTAGCGACGCACCACAGGAAGAAGGTGTTTAGTAGGATTTAAGGACTGTTACTTGTTGTTTCTGTGTCTCCAAAAGCAAACGGAGACATTATTTATAGTTAAGCTTCAGCGTCCTCTTTATAACCTCTTCACCAAATGTAATCAACAGTTTCAACATATTTTTCTGATTCGGTGAACAATCAGTCACAGGAACTAGACATTTCTTATTTTTTATTTTTGCCAAGTGCCCATTGGGGAGACGGCATATGGTGAGGGACAGCTGAGGTTAGCTCAGCAAAGTCAACAGTGACTTGGCAACCAATGAAGGTGAAGCGTGAGGGACACTGACGGCAATACAGAAGTAATTAATTGTCATTGGCCATTGTTGGGAAGTGGTACACTTGAAGGACTATTTTCAGAGTCACTGATGGCTTACTGATCTCCTCCCTGGTCCTCTGCTGGGACTCTCTGTTTTTTAAGAGTTTGTCGAGCTGGCTTTTGGCCAGATGGTATTCATCTGTATTTGTCTTCTTGTGAACCACCTCCTTGATGTTTCACTGGATCCGGAACTCCCTCATGAGCCATGGCTTGGCATGCTTGCTCTTAAATGAGCTGGATATACAGATGCAGATGGGATTTATGAAGGTGTCAGAAATGTCACTCACATATCTGAGGGCTCCCCGAAGCACCGAGGCACCGTCTGAAAACCCTCCTACTGCGTCTGTGGGTCCTGATTCAGATTGTCGTTCAGATAAATGGGTCTGCCTTCGGTTTTTGTCTGGATGCTAGAACTGTCTGGGACATTAAGTGAGGCTGCAGTTCGTGATATGGTTGAAATACTGTTTTGACAGCAGAGTTTTAATTTGTCTGACATCCACTGTGGCTTCTTTCTTTAAACTTCCACTACAGTTGGGTTTAATGATGTTTTATGTGTTGACTGAATAGGAACTGTGATTTTTCTATAAGATCTAATCTTTGTTAACAGCAGTCAAAAATTAGGTTTAGGTAAGCAAGGCTAATCTGGTGATAGTTTCACAATTTATTTAAAATGACTAAAAACACAACAAATAAAGAGTTAAATT